GCGGCTATCTGACGAGGAAGCGCGATTTCATTCGCGATTACGTGGAAGGCACGGGAGTCCTCGGAGAAGGGCCATGTCTATCCCTGGATGATCGGATAAGTAACCCGTAGTGTAGACCGCGAATACCGCGCGGGCTCTGTTGGCGGCAGAGAGATGACATGGCGGTTGTATGATACCGCATCAGGCTGGCACTCCCATGGTTTGATCCGTAATAGCTCCCTGCGGCCTAGAGGAGGTGGACTGGCACCGTTGGGGAGCGGGGTCTGGGACCGAATCTACGGGTGCAGAGCTGTGCAAGCTTTGAGACGTGTGGTCGGCTGGTAACACGGAGCAGGGTGCCACGTTCGGGCTGGGGTGGTCCACCCGACGACGGGGCGCCGGGCTCTTGTGATTGGATCAAGTGTGGCAGACTGGGCATCCACGCACGAGGGTTCGATATGGTGAACAGGGCGGCAGAATGGAGCGTGCATGGCTGCCGTGGTCGTGTGAATGTGATGCTGTAGGCGGGCTTTGAAGGATCGTCAATGGTGAGTGGATGAGAAGTGCCCGATGAGGGTAGCCCCGCCCATCTTCGGTCAAACGTTCGGGCTAGGAACAGCGTGGGAGGGTGGGCAGAGCCGGTCTGGATTGTGGATTATCGGATGTGTGAAGAAAGGCTGCTTCGGGGCGAAGAGCCATGAGAGTGGACGCCTCTGGGGCACGGCACAAGACTGAGGAAAGGCGACGGCGGCATTGCTCGTCGTGGTTGGGTGTGTATTGGTGTGAATCCGTCTGTGTATGCATGACAATGTATGTAGGACGACAGAGAAGGAAATCTGCTTGTGATGCGCTTGGCGGCGGCACCCGCGCGAAACAGAGTTTGTACCATCCCGCACCAAAGCCTTCAGGTGATGCGACGCAGCCATCCCGTATTGGCCAGAGTTGGGACTAGCTGTCTGCCCAAGTGGGATCCGTCTGCTTACTAGGCAACCTCGAGTGGAAGAGGGAAAACAACAGACAGGAAAAGACGAGAGAATCGACAGACGATAGACTGGCCCAACGCCAGATGACCTCGCCATCCATCGTCATGGCAGAGTGAAAACCCTCAGGAAAGCGAGGTCGACGAGGACAACTCAGCGATGGAGTCTCACCAGTGAGACTATAGGCTCTTGCCTAAACCTCAGCTCTATTTCGGCTCCGCCGCTTGGAGGAGATTCAAAAGAACCTTGCCAGGGGAAGACAATCCCAGTAAAATCCCTATCGGACGTTCCGTAAAGAGAGGAGAGCGATAATACCTCTTAGCTAAAAGGCGTGGGTTGTCCAATCATCGAGATTGGTCGGCGGCGACGCTGAGCAACTCGTGATGGAGCAGGTTACCCAATCGGCCAATTACTCCGAGCTCGAGGTGAAGAGAGTCGAGAGACCGGTGAGAGGGGTGATGAAGCGAGACAGGCGAGAGAAACGGACAAGGAGAAGGAGGGAAATGGGGAGGCCGTGGCTTCTTACCGTGGGGGTTCTCAAAGAAATCTTGCCCTGCCTGAGGTCAAGCCGAGACCCGGAGGTAAACATCAGACGTCAGGAAAGACGAGGAGTTGAGTCTGACTGATCGATACAGTATGCAGGTCTTCTTTGCCTTCCCATTCTCCCCAGCCTTCTGAACTCGGGCTGTTGTCGCATATCTTGGTCGATTGGCTTCGGCCCTCAAAGCAGCCAACCCGACTGTGTTGCGGGCACTCAAACGAAGAGATGACAGAAAAGGTGCTTAGATGAGGGAGATAGGACGGGCGGCCCCTTTTATGCCTTCAAACATCTCTCTATCTCAGGGGCCTCAGAATGGCGGTGGAAGGGAGAAACGGCATTCCCCCGGTAGGAAGGGTAGTGCGAACTGGCTGGGGAAAATTGGCTCATCAAAACACCCGGTCCCTCAGCACCCGTCGCGAGTCGTCGACATGTTGAGTCCTGCCGCCTGACCTGACCATAGTTCGTGGATGCGCTGGCTATCTTGCTCACTTTCAGCAACATCGCGGGTGATGGTTGGCGGGTTGGTGATGGCGGAGACTGATTTTGTGTGAGATGCTGGGCCATCAAGGTTGGCCATCCGGGTTCCTGAGACACTCCCAAAATGGCCTTATCAATGCAGGCCATCAAGGTTCTCAACATCTGAGTTGCACTCAGCAGCATCTCTGTACTTGGCAGAATGATCTGACCAAATGCCAAAATATCGAATGAAAGTTCCTTGAAGCTGGCAATCTGGCTGAGAGGTTCAGTGTCCATATCTGTAGCAAGTTTGGGTTGTGACTGTGTCGAGACAGCCAAGCCACGGTTACGCTTGTTGTGTTGCATTTTGCCGTATGCACTCCGAACTTTTGAAGAAACCAATCTTCCGACACGTACAAGTCAACCAGATTAAGCAGGCCCTTTACAACCATCAAGTTGAAACAGTAAACGTGGAATCGCAGTCGTTAACGGTTCTCGACTGGAAAAGCCAATGTTCTATTTAGCCGTAATATTAGGCGAGTTGCCGTTGATTGGATTCAGAATCGAAAGCTAACTGCCAACTCAGGCACACTTTAAAACCTCGAGCGACGACCCGAAATGCTCGAAATTAAAGGCTGCCTTTGAACAGATCTCTCCAAGCAGCAAAGTTGATACCGGCACGAACTGTTGAATGATATGGCCTCGCGCATGGCAAGTCTGCAAATTTGTTCAACCAGTGTTGTAGGCCTGGGCCTCAAAGGTCGAGGTGACGTGGTCAAGCAAGATTCTTAAAAAAACAACTTGCTCGAAACACTGTTGTCAATACGGCCTTCACCTCTTGATCTCGTCAAGCCTCGGTCCGATTACTTATAACCGGGCGAGGTCGAGAGCATTGCAAGTTGAAGCTTTTACTAGCCTGAGTACGTTGTTTGTCAAACCCAAAGTTGCTTGCTTTTTCGAAGGTCAAACTCCATATCTGATCGCAAGTCATTCGTCATTCCAAGAAAAATGTCGAAGGTCGACGGGAGCCTCCTCGATGAGCTGTCGTTGCGCAATTCATCGGCCATCGCGCCAAGGTCCCCATAATTGCGCCATCTGGGGCCCCGGGCAAGCGCCTCTCCGAGATCGTGACCCTTAGATCCGATCCGACCCTGGTCCCGCGAGCGACCCCTCCTCCCCATCAAGAAGCGCGGTGAGCTCCGCTCCCGCCGGATCGAACCCCGTGAGCGGGCCGTCCCGCTGGCCTTCTCTCTCTTCTTTGCAAAGATTCGGCCATGTGTGAGGGCTGCAGTCTTGGCGAATCCTGTCTCGGTGGCGCAACATCCCCTATGTATGACCCTGGGTCGATGAAGTGCGATCGAAAGCGTCCGCGCCATCCTGGCTATCCGCCGTCGCCTTTTGTCTCTGGAGCTGGAAGAAGGGAACCTATAAGATCAACATCGGATCTGTTGTTCGAGGTTGCTGCTCCGATGCGGCGACGCGTTCTGAGATATGACTACCCGGTGTAGGGATGGTCAAGCTGTCGCGAACGAGACCGATCCAAACCAGAATTGTAGATAACAAATCGGTAGGGGAAGAGACAGCACCCCCAACCGCAAGGAGAAAGGGGCATACTATTACAACGAGGCTGGCTCAGCCGCACACTAGAAGGTATTTAGACGCGGTGTACTTCACTCAACGTTCGCTCCACGATCCCCCTTGACCCCTCTTCGGCCCATATATTGTCTCGGCCCAGCATCTTGACGGCTCTTGGAAAAGCTCACAACACCATCAAAGTGGTGGGTGTTCGCCGAACGGGCCTACCAATCACGAGGAATAGCTCGTAGCCAGGCAAAGAATCCATCGACTCGAAAACGAAGGAGCCGTCACTGCCAAGACGATGAGGGTAAGATAGAGACCGAGGTAGAAAGCTGGGTCCTGGGGGGTCCAATGATAGAAGTCAGCGAGTAGCAATGAAGTCGATTTAAACTTTGCAAGAACACCAAAACCTGCAACGGCCCTCTTCACTCTTCGCTAGGAAAGAAATATCCCAATGGAGTCACCCGGACGCCACCTGCCATGATGGGAAAGTAGTACTCCCAAGGTACCTGACCCAGCCAGGACAGCTACTTCCAGTGCACCTGCACCTACACCTGCACCTGGCCTGCCTGTACAGTCATGAACCTTCCTATCGCGACCATAGCTGCATCCGTCAGGTGCATTGAAACAACCCCGACAAATAGAGAAGCCGCCCCGCCTGTCCTGTACCTGCTCTCCTACATGTGAAGGACCTGGCCTCTTCCGGACGGGAGACCCTACTGCTGTCTCGGTATGGATCACCACGGTCTGATGAGGCGATGATGGCAGTTAGCATACGCTGAATAATACATGGAATGGATCCATGAACTTTCCCAGGCCCAAGGGGTATCTATTCGAGTCTGCCACAACCATCAACATTCAGGTCAGCTGTGTTGTTGGCTATGGATGGTAAGGTGCGAGAACGAGTATGAGAACGAAGCTTGTTCCGTTGATGCCATGAAAGGAACATGGAAAGGATGCAACGAATCCAGACTTTCTGGCAGCTCGACCGTGTGGTTGCCGCAGTTTCCCTTCATGCGGTAGCTGGCACTGCATCACCACCACACCTTCACCGAGTTGCACGAAATATTGCATGAAGAGTTGAACTTGAACTTGAATTGCAAATCTCATTCATTGTTGATGCAATGGGGAACCATGGTCCCAGTTGCCAATGAACTCCGAGCCTATGTGTGTATGATGCCGCATAATAGAGATACGAGTCGTAGCTAACCCTCCCCGGAAAAACAAATCACAAACAAAACCCTACTTTGACAGACACAACCTGGATATCCAACGACATTCGTATCATGATTTGCGCTAGTGTCCTCGGCCACTTGACCAAGATATGCCATTCCTGTAACCCCGACGCCAGAAAAATCACAATGGTTCGTTCATAGTGCCACTTTCTAGGTCTACTTCGTAGCGCTGGGGCTTCGTGCAAGTTTGACCTCACTCCCGGGAGGAGTGCGGCTTGGAGTACGAGGCTCCTATGCGCCGCCAGCTCGGGCCGCGAGAGGCTGCTTGTTTCGTCTCCCCAACAATGTGGCACCGTCAAGGCTGAGCTCAAAAGCACCCTTCTGTCTGTTCCGGTCTCTAACCTGTTGACGAGCTGCAGCCGTGACGGTCGCTGAGTGTTGGCCGTAACCCTTCTCGTTCGCCGCAGGCGCTTGACGCTCACGCTCCCGTCCGCGATGCTCTTGTTGATCCTTGATTTGGGCGTTGCGCATGCTCTGCTCGAGTGCTTGTGTAGCCTGCGATGGCTTGTGGACATATTCGGCTTCCTTGTTCTCGGCCATTTCCGCATCTTCGTCCTCGGACTCCTCATTAAGGTTGTTTAGGAAGCGTGCGGGAACACCACCCTTGGTACCGATTTGCTTCCGGCGCTTGGCCTCTTCCTCTTGCCTGTGAACAGCATATCCGACGTCGAACACCTCACGCAAGTTGACCGCACCGGGGGAACGGAAGTCGTAGCGACGATCACCATCATTGATTCTGCTGGCATCGAACGCACGCAGCATGTCGGGCTGCGTCTTCTTCTCCTCGCGAGGCGTAGGGCCGGAGCCCTTGATCCAGGGGTGAGCGAGGAATTCGGTGATTGTGTATCTCTTCTCGGGATCCACGGTGAGGAGGTGGGAAATGAGGTCTTGGGCAGACTTGGAAATATCATCCCACCAAGGGGATAAGAATGTATACTGGCCCTTGGCGACCTTCTCCGTCAAAACCTCGATGCTCTCGTCGTAAAAAGGAGGGAAGCCGCAAAGGAGCGTGTAGAGGACACAGCCCAAGGCCCACATGTCGACCGACTTCGAATAGCGCTCATCCTTGACGATTTCGGGAGCTGTGTATCCGACGGTGCCGCAAGGTGTCATGGTTTGGTTATCCCACACGATCTTAGACAGGCCAAAATCGGCAATCTTGATTTGGCCAATGCCGCCCGCACCAACTCCAGGGATGAAATCGCCCTCATCAACCTTGTCTTCATCACCAGGCTGCTTAGGCTTGGGGTTTTTGGACGGAATGACTGGGATAGGGCTGAAGAGGATGTTTTCAGGCTTGATATCACTGGGACATTGTATGTTAGCCGAATGGACGAGTGAATGACGTGACACGGAGATGCATGATGGGCGCTCCCACCGCCCGCCGCCTCGATCTCACCGATGTGGGCCGGTGAGGTAACCTATGTCGTACTTACCGATGAACAACGCCCCTCTCCTCGTGCAAGTACTCCAAAGCCTGCGCAACCTGCACAATGACGTGCCTCGAAAGCTCCTCACTGAAGTATGTGAGACGAACAATCTGGTGGAATAGTTCGCCACCGGGCGCCAACTCCAAGATGATGTAGTAATATTGCCGGGATTCGGAAAAGTCGATCAGCTTGATAATATTCGGGTGATCAAGTTGTCGCATAATTTGAACCTCTTTCAAGATGTTTGCTCTCTGTGTTGAGGTCAGCAAAGGTGTCCATCAAGTAGATGGGAGCCATCCTCAACGTAACAGTGACTATAGAGCAACATGAAAGTGTCGAAAGTGAGGATAGCCCGAACAGTAGACAAATGAAATATAGAAAGTTTTCGCACCTCTGCAGCCTTGGGGACCTTCTTGAAGTCCGGATGTAAATGCTTGTTTCCCTATTCACGACCCTCGGTTGGTATGGGAATGCTCCAAAAGGCTCAAATCAAAAACAACAACGCAGCGAACAAGAAAAAGCGAGAAAATCATGGTCGCGGCCGTAACCACCCAAGCAAAAACTCACCTGCATGCTGTTCATTTCATACTTGCGGACGACCTTGATGGCACACTCGCCTGGGTGCTCGCCGGTAGTATCGCGCGCGCGGTAGACGTTGCTGAAGGCACCGTCGCCCATCTTTTCGACCAACTCCCATCTCTCCAGGCCGGGATATCTCGGGAATTTGCTCTTGCTCTCGTTCTCCTCAGCTACAAGCTTGGCCAAGTGTGTGTTGTCGATGTTCTTGCCGGCCTTGGACGTCTTGTACTGGTTCGGCTCGGCGGCATGGGCGGCTGCGTGGTTTGCCTGGGCGGCGCGGTTCTGACCATCGCCAGCGACTGAGTACGCCTCGGGAATCGCCTGAGCAGGTGGTGCGGCAGCATACGCAGGCTCTGATACGCCTACGTGCGCCTTGGGCGGCGGTGACTGTTTAGCTGCCGGCTCATCGTTGTTCGCTCGAGCTTGCTTTCCTGTACGTCAAGATCGTCAGCAAGCTGGTAATCAACGAAAAGGGTTTCAAGCCACCACGGAGTGTCATGACACGACACCCGCAAACAGCACGTAATGCGAAAGGGACCAGTCCGCCGACGAAGCAGTGGAAGAGAGGGGGTATCGTACCGTGTCGGATAAAGTTCTTAAGCTGCTGTATCGTCGACATGATGCTAGATTGGGCCGCTACGAAGGACGACGAAATGTGAGGTTATTCGCAAGGTTAGGTTTACGCAGGGCACGTCGCAGTAATCGGCGGCTAAATCGGTCAACCTGCCCCGTATTGAGGGGGACGCTCGATGTTTGAGTGTGATTGGTAATGCGGAGATGGCGAAGCACGAGTCGTGGGAATATGCTCGATAGGCGATGCGGTACTCTGAACGCTGGGCAAAGTCGTGATGGATTGTTGTATCACGAGAAGAGAGAATTGAGGAAATGTCGAGGTCGACAGAAGCGGATGCAAGGTTGTTTCTTTGTGAATGTGGGAGGGGAACCAGCGGCTGAAAGGGAGAAATTGTTGCGAGAAGAGGGAATTTGTGGACTGCGGCGAGCGTTGGTGATGTTGGCGGAGGGGCAACGTGGACTCGGATGACGGAAGTTGGAGGAACAGGCAGCTGGAGATCGGGCGGGAAGACGGGCAGCAGCAGCACGTTTGTCTTGGTTAGAAGAGGCCGGGGGACCAAGCGAAAGGGAAGGGGGAAAAGGGCAGACGGCGCTAGGGGCCGCACCAAAGCAAGGTAGAAAGAGGGAAATGGGTATGGATTTGGAGCCGGGGAGGGGTGTTGGTCGGGTTCAGGTTGACAGGGCCAGGCGAAGAAGAATGGTAGACGATGACGGCGTGTTCTGCCCGTAGTCGCTGTGCTGCGTACGTAGTTGGGTGTGCGAGCAGGGTAGAGGTACTTTGCTGCTCGTACCGTGCGACAAGTTGGGAGAAGTCAAAGACTTGGAATTTCTGGGGGGGCGAGTACACTAGAGCGAAGAGGGGGGAGTGTGCGTTGCTTCGTCCTGGTCTTCGGAAGTGGCACACAGAGACGGGCTGACTACCGTGCTGGACAGTGGACTGGCCCGGTTGACTGGATTTGAGCGATGATGATGACAGAGGTTTGGTGGACAAGCGTCAAATGAGGTAGCTGTTCGCCCAGCGAGGTGTGTGAGAGGCCGAGAGGGTGGGCGTGTGAAAGGTCGCGCAGATTGGACAGTGTGCGAGAGACAGGCTGCGGTCGGGGCTGTAGCTGCGCAAGGTGCTGATGATGATGATGTAAAAGGCCGAAGGGCCTTATTTTTATTTTGGAACCTTCGGTGAACCAGCCGAGCGTGAATCAGTGTAGGTAGGCAGGTAGGTATTGGGGCGACGGGAGGTGCAGGAGCAAAATCGACTTCATGTTTATCAGTAGATCGATTCAGAGAGGGAGACGACCTGAGGCAGAGCCCGTGGAGGAGCGACCTGAGAGAATGCAATCGTATTGTGGCAAGTGATCGAGCAGCGGTAGGTAAGAGCATCAGTCATCAACAGCACCCGTGGAGGGGTTCCTTTTCGTTTCTTTACTCTTTTTTTTTTCCGCTACTCTTTTCGTGCTTCCCCTCATCATGTGTTTCCCAGATGCAGTCACGTCACTCAATAGTCTGAATGATGATTACCTAATGCACAGACCACACAGATGGGCAGGCTTTTTGTGAGAGAGGAATGGTTGGGGAAACGCAAGGAAAGAAGTAGGTGGTCATTTGCTTCTTTCCCTAATATTCTCTTCTCAACGAGATTGTCTTGTGTGGTGTTTCGCTCGTCGAAAAAAGCAGCAGGAGCCAAGGTGGGGTATTTCCCAGTACTTTGCCAGTGTACGTACTATGTGTGATCGATACCTTACTTGGAGGTGCCCGAGACCACATACGCGCCTTGAGGTAACCGTGCATGGCTTGAGGAAGGCGCCTCGATGCGTTCTGGACTTCTCCTGCCGTGCGCGACGAAGGCCACGCAGCGTACCCTGTGGTGGAAGGAGCTACTTTGGCTTCTCTCCCTTTCCGGCCAGCATCATCAAAGGCACTTTACTCAACTCGCTCTCCATTCCTGCCGGCGTCGATTTCGCAGATACTTCATGTACACTGGAGGTACCTGAGGATTTCTAATCATTCCAGAGATGTTCCATCGATGATCTTCCTTGCTTCCTACCTTACCTTACTTCGACTGGGAAGAAGACTCCTTATCTAAACCTCTCAACTCGATCCTCATGATGTTTGCAGTCAACCTAAACCAATCGAATCGTTTCAAAACGTCTCTCTCACTAAAACTCGGCCATTCCAACCCCGGACCCATTCGCCCTGTACCAGATCCAAGATCGGGCCTCAGAAGGGACAGGGGAATGGCTAGTGCCAAGCAAGGGACATCAAGAAGCCTCTCGTCGATTATCCGCGGGATTCACCATACATACACTGGACAAATACTACACTTGCTACACTGAACCATGTTCTCAATGATAGCGAGGTTCAGGCAAGTGATGACACAGCACTGAGGACAAGAATCGGCACACATACACACACAGTTCAGCAAACTTACTGCAACTGTGCTGCGACCACGAACGACGCTACGTCGGCGCCAAGGAACCAGAGTTCAGGGGCGCTGGGACACGCTAGAGTCGGCCACTTGCGTTGTTAAGTTGGGATGATGCATGACATGGCACTGTGTTTTTTCTGACAGAATTGACAGTCACTACAATCACGGCAACCAGCCAGGGTAGAGCAACAGCCAGGAGCCAGAAGCAGCTTTGAGACTGGATTCATCATTCGGGAGCCCTCACAATTGGCAATACCATCTACAACCATCCGACAGCTCACTCCTCGCCCCATCTCCATCTGGGTCATTCATACCTGTACATACCATGGGCCCCGGCCAAACCAGGACTGGGGTCAAACGAGGGCGCGAGTCCAAGATGCAAAACTCGCATTTTCCCGTCTGCCCTCCCGCCGCCATGTTTCCCAATTCCATGATTTGAGCACACGGTTGCAGCCAGACACGCACGACACGCCAGGCTTGCCAGTCCCAGGCGCACAAGAACCAGGTGCCAGGACTCCAGAAGCAGGGCCCGGTTGGCGTGGTCAACCTTGAACCCATGGCTGTGATCCAACCCATCCCATGGTGCCCATCCAGGATCGGAGCCTGTTCCACTCGCTTGGATGGCGTGGGGCCCCCATTATGACGTCTGCTTCATCGTCATACCCGCTTCTGGCAGGGATGGCATCTTTGGAACCAGACGCCCTGATGCATCATTGGGGGGTAAATATGGATTCGGCCACTGTGCCTGAGGCCATAGGCCAGATTGAGGCATAACCAGTCAGGGCCCATGATTCATTCCTCTCCGGGGGCATTCCCTCCAGCGTCCAGCATAGAGTACTTGCTCAGTCTGACCTGCAACACCAAATGCTCACTCCCAGATTATCGTCACCATCGTCAACCAAAAATGTCTTTTGCAGGGGTTGGCCGCTACTTTTCTCTCTCTTTCTCTTTTCCCAACCTGCAGTCCAATTTGCTAATACACCGCCCAGCCTGTCTTAGATTCTCAATCGCCTCTCCTTCCGAGGCCATTTCGATACTTGTCTCCGCTTCGCGTCTTCCCGCATCACTGGGCCACTGTCGCACCGTACCGCTTGCATTGCCCGTTCTGTTTGCCGCTTGAGCCAATCATATATCACGCTCGATCCACTTACCGAGTCACCCCGCGACTAACCATATGCCTCCGAGATGATGATGGGCGACGATGCGCAAGCCACACACGCCAATGTCATTTCACTGACGACGCTTTTCCTTACGCAGTCACTAGATTTGTCTCCAACTAGGTATGGATTATGGCAGCCCATCTCTCATTGATATGCGGGAAATCGGCTAGTCAGATACACAAAGCGGCCTCCCGCCCGTCATCCACGCGACGCGGGAGTCTCAGTCACGAGCTCGGTGTGTGCCGCCCCATTTCTACGAGGTTAATAAAGATACCTATCGGTACCTGCCTGCCTCGTGTGCGAGGATATCACAATATAGCCCGCTGTCAACGCATCGCGATGACCTCTCTGTTTCAGAGTGAGGCTCGTCTTAGGGCATAGGCACTCGTTGGTCAATATGAAGGGCAGATGGGAAGATGGTATTATCAAACACGTCGTTTAGCTCTCGTACTTGACGCTGGACAGCTCGTGGTTCTTCTCAGCTGCCTGACGAGATTTGCTAGGCTATTCCACTAATGCAAACTCCATGCTCTAGCTAAAGATATCCTCATCGCTTGTTGCATCGCAAACCCGCAAACGGCGAGAAGAAAAAGGCCTGAAGCCAGAGCGCCGAATGGACTGGTCCAGACCGCTGCTCTGCACGAGCCATCTTCTGTCGTCATTCATACCTTACCTCTCCACGTTCGGCGCGGCTTTGGCCGAATGAGAATTCTCTAACCCTTTCTGCAGCACCAGCCACATCTCATCCCATCCCAGTCGAACTGCTGCGGTGTTGCCGCCACACATATCTCAGGATGGCAAACATGGTTCAGTCTACACTGCGTCACATCTCGCCCAACGGGTAAGCCAGCATTAAACTCGGTGGCCTAACAACTTGAACTCGATAGCAACACTCTTAGACGAGTCTTGGTCGTCGGACTTGGCCTATCATTCACTCTAGCCAAGATACTAGCTTCAAGCGCACATACAGAAGAGTGAGCGTTTTGCGGGATTCAAAGTGTATCAATATGGTAGTCCAGGTTCCGGGTTCCCAATTACAAACTTGATGCCGAGTATTCAAGACTCGACCCATGATGAGCAACGACAACAACGCGCCTACTTTTCGGCTCGCTTAGTGCGACTTCCAAAGTCAAAGTCAGGCAACTCCAATTGGCTCCATGATTCGATCTACTCTGGTTGACAGTCTCTGGTGCTAGGTGGAACATGCTGCATTCACGATCATCAAAGATTCAAAGCGAGATGCGGCTCAAAATCCCGGGCGCCGCCAACGCTGTACCGAGATGATCGTCGTGACGAATGGACAGGCCTACCTCTTGGCGCAGCCTACTTGTTCCTAAATCTGCAGGTTGGACGTTGTAAACGCGCGTTGAAATTACGAAGAGACAATCCAGCTGCGTTCGTGTGCCTCGCTCCAAACTTCCAAAGTGACGCGAAACACCCCTTTGACGTCATGCCTTTTGCCCC